CCTATGCCCCCCACACAGCACCTCACAGCGCCCCCACAGGCCCATACAACCCCCTCACACTCCCCGCATCATCCTCACCCCCATAGTCGCCACAGCCCTCCACACCATAGAGAAGGCCTATGCAGCTGAGAAGGTAAGTCCTTTCCTGACTCCACAGCCTAGTAAGGGTCAGGACAAAATGCCATAGCCAAGAGTGCCGTGAACACTGCCTGAGGACGGGGATGGCAGGAAAGGCTGCCGTAGGACGTGACACGTGGTCTGGGTCTTTGGGGTGAGATTTGAGTAAGGAAGCCAGTTTCAGCTCAAGGAGCAGACCAGAAGAAAAGAAGGAAAATAAACACAGGGCTGATGCCAAGCACAGAGATAAGGGACACAGAAGCCTGATTCAGTAAATCCACCTTCAACTAATAGGAATTCCAAAAGAAGGCAGAGGGAGGACAATTAACAATACAAGATTAGAGGAAAGCGTTACAGCCCTAAGGAACAGCCCTAAGGAGACGTGGCGTCTTCAGATGGAGTGCTCCATGGAACGCAGGATCAAGGAAAAAACGACCTGACTCTAGAAATATCTGAACGAAAGTGAAGAGTGACAGGGAGTAAGATTGGTTGACAGACTTCAAAGATGGTAAAAATAAAATGTTCACTGCAAAGGCTGAGAACTGCAGTGCATCAGATCCCCATCAGTAGCAATGGTTGTAAGAAGAAGATTGGGAAGTAATTTCGAACCCTGTTTTCTACACTAAGCCAAATTATGAATCAAGCACGGGGCAGAAAAAAGATACTGTTAGACCTCCAAGCACTCAAAATACAGAAACCCATCCTCCCATGCATCTTTTCTTGGATAGTTACTTGAGGATGTATTCCAGCAAAGTGAGAAATCAAGCTAGGAGAAAAACCTGGGGTTGACTCTTGAGTGATCCACCAGGGGGTGGTAAAGGGAGGCCGGTGCTGTGCTCCGACCCAGGGACAAGGAGTGGAGGTGGGAACCATGGGGTAGGAGAGGGCAGGGGAGGTCTTGAGAACAAGAGCCACATTATTACTCTGTTATTACTATTATTCTGTGAATAAGAAGGAAGAAAGGCAATTAAAAGCTATAGGGAAAATGTATATAACAAAATTCTGCTTCAACTAGGAAGCAAACTGAGATAGGAGTTTCCGTTTCTGAGGGAAGGCAAAATGAGTTCGCCCCATTTGCTGTGGTTGCTAAAACTATCTTCCTTGTGTGGTCAGAGAGGATGGTGGTGGTAATGACTTTAGGCCCATAAAGAAAGAACTGTCCCCTGGCCCAGTGTTTAGATGTGCAGTGAGTAACATGTGACAGTGACATGCCCAGCTGCCCAGGGGTGTAGTGGCTCTCACTGCTGCAGTTCAAATCCACTGGGCTCCACTTGTACTGTAGACAAAGTTGTGGGACCTAGAAAGAGTGGCTAGCAAGGGCCATCCTACCCTCAGCTTCGATGAAGGGGAGTCAAGACACAGACCAGAGGTATGGTAGTAAACATAGGGGAGTAAGTGTGAGTGTAAAGTTGCAGAGAGAACCTGCAGAAGAGTGAAAACACTCCTCTAATGTAAACACAGGCAGAGGAGGGAGAAGGCGCAGAGGGGAGACTGGAATGGAGGTGATTACGGTTGATGTTTGAACAACACAGGGGTTGGGGGCACTGATTCCCTCCCCCATGAAGTGAAGTCAAGAATCCTCACATAACTTTGGACTCCTCAAAAATTTAACTACTGTTAGCTTGTTGACCAGAAGCCTTTCTGATCACATAAACAGTTAATTAGCACATCTTTTGTATGTGAGATATATTATGCATTCTTACAATACAGTGAGCTAGAGGAAAAAAGTTATTAAGAAAATAATTGTAAGAAAGAAAATAGATTTAGTATTCATTAAGTGGGAGTGGATCATTATAAAGGTGTTCATTCTTGTCTTCGTGTTGAGTAGGCTGAGGAGGAGGAAGAGGAGAAGATGATCTTGTTGTCTCAGGTGTGGCAGACGCAGGAGAAAATTTCCATGGAAGTGGACCCACGCAGTTCAAACCTGTTGTTCAAGGGCCACCTGTATTCATCTTTCATACTAGGAAGCCAGTATATTTTGTCAAATACTCATAAATCACAAACTGGGAGAACAAGGATTTTATTGAAGCTGAAGGGAATAACAAAAAAAAAAAAAATTAAAAACAGAAGCTATAAAATGTTTAGTCCCAAGGTGGTAGAAATGGTGTGTGTGGTGGGGGATAGGTGGATAGGTAAAGAGACATTTTATCGTTAGGTTTTTTTTTTTTTGGTATTTTTTTAACCTTGTTCATATGTATTACTTTGATTAGAATTCCTGAATTTTAAAAATAAAACCAATAATCCAATTACTTCTGAAGTCCTTGAACATCATGACTCAATACTCCATAAAATAAATATATTTTACTGTTTCTTTCTTTTTTTTTTTGAGTTAGAGTTTCACTCTTGTTGCCCAGGCTGGAGTGCAATGGCATGATCTCGGCTCACCACAGCCTCCACCTCCCGGGTTCAAGCGATTTTCCTGCCTCAGCCTCCTCAGGGATGGAGTATTACAGGCATGCACCACCATGCCCAGCTAATTTTGTATTTTTAGTAGAAACAGGGTTTCTTCATGTTGGTCAGACTGGTCTCGAACTCTGAACCTCAAGTGATCTGCCCACCTCGGGTGATCTGCCCACCTCGGCTTCCCAAGTGCTGGAATTACAGGCGTGAGCCACTGCACCTGGCCTTACTGTTTCATTTTAAAAATCATTTTCACTGACACTTTCTTAGTTTTACAACTGTCACCAACTGTATACAGAGCATGCATTCTTTACCCTAGACATGAAAGGGGGGAAAAACGCACCATTGCACTCCAGTTTCTAATGCTTACCTAAGGTACAGTGCCAGCTGATGAGAATAATAATAACTGCCCTGCGCCATCATGTTGAGGCACCTCTCGGTACCAGGACAGGTGACTTTGACCCCTGCCTGACTCGTGACAGCATCCTTACCTATTCTCAGATCGGTGAAACGTGCTTTTGTTTTAAAGGCCTCCCAGCAAGGAGCTCAGCCTGTCCCCTCTCCGGCTGAAGCAGTTCTATTTTTATTCCATGCTCTTGGATGGCTCGTGTCCAAGCCAGTGGCTGTGCTCCAGGTGCCAGACTCCCTGGCAGCATCCCTACTATGGAACAAAGCTCTGCCTGGTGCAGGCAGCAGCCTGGTCACAGCCTGATCACAGGCTGGTCACAGGCCTGTCACAGACATCTGTGCACGTTTCAGTCTGCCCATTGTAGGGATAGCCTGCAGGCCTCCCTGGACCTGGCCAAGCCCAATAACATGCAGGAACCACATCTGTGAACCATGTCACAGATTGTCAAATTGTCAGACATTTCACACCTAGAGCGAATACAGAGAAAACAAGCCCCAGTTTTCCCACCACTCAGTTCTAGTACAGGCACACACCTCAGAGAGATTGTGGGTTTGGTTCCAGACCACTGCAATAAAGCAAATATCACAATAAAGTGAGTCACAAATTTTTTGGTTTCCCAGTGCATATAAAAGTTGCGTTTAAACTATACTGTAACCTGTTAAGTGTGTAATAGCATTTTGTCTATATAAATAATGTCCATACCTTAATTTAAAAATACTTTTTTTGCTAACAAATACTAACAGTCATCTAAGCCTTCACCACGTTGTGATCTTTTTCCTGCTGGAAGATCTTGATTCAATGTTGATGGCTGCAGACTGATCAGCGTGGTGGTTGCTGAGGGTTTGGGTGACTGGCAATTTCTTCAAATAAGACAACAATGAAGTTTG